AGTCTATAATCTACTGACATCTAGTGGTGAGGTTTTATACACTGTAACTTTAAGATAGCTTTCATCAGTTTTCAGTATGTGGTTCTACAGCAGTCAGATGTTTCTACATATTAGAGCTGAAAGCTGTTTTCAGTTTTGTCACTGATACTCATTGCTTTAGCTTTAGTTTATAATAGTCTTTGGCAAGTGTAACTTGATGTCATTTAGTAATTAAAGCTACTATAAATGCTGCTGATCTGTTATTTCGCCCCATCATTGGTTCTTTCTCCATCCTTGTAGATCTGTTTTTCCATTTCTCTTTGCCATAGAGGTTAGCCTTCATAAATAAACAAGAGATAGGGAGGGGTAAGTCCATTAAAAGTTCATGCTGCAACAGCTTTAATGGTAGTGGTCACATAAGGACTTCTAGTTCAAATTCACAAGGAAATCCAATGATGATTCTCTGGATGCTTTTCTTGTCACTCACAAAGTTGAGTTATTAAGCTTTAAGATATGCTCTGAGTCTTTATTTCAGTAAATACTGTCACAACTCATCATTTTGTGTCCATTTAGGCTCTTTAGTCTGCCTGTTTCTAAATGTGTAAGCTCTGTTTGCCAGGCTCATGAGAATTGCATGTGATGCTTTGCTTCAAGTGAAAAAGCATCTAAATATCATCTACATATCAAACAAGACATATTCAAATTGTGCATTTTTATAACAAATAAAAAATTAAAAAGTTAGTGCAGCATAACGAACAAGGGCATCAAATCGCACGATCCATGAGCCACATCCAACAGCTGCAAAGAACCTGCAATTTGTGAATGTTTCTGTTTGCTAATCATTAAGGCCAGCATGGTTGCTGAATAATTGTGTACTTTGCTAAGTTACTTAGGTAATTTAGCAAAGTACACAATAGTAATTTGGTGAGAGTTAGGTATTTTACAACTACAGTGCTTAGGCTGTGTGGGTTAGTTATCTTCACAGTTGTCCAGTTAATCTGTTTTCTTTTAACAAGGACAGTTAATTGCCCATTTTAATAATGAAAATACTCAAATAGCCAGGGCTGGTACTTCTAAAACTGTAGTGGCCAGTATATCATGCCAATATCTCTTTTATAATTTTTTTGCAAGGTCTTGATCATGGTGAACTCTTCAGGTTTTCCACCTAGCATTTTAAACAGGTGTTCAAAGTCTCTCTGTCACTCTGTCGTCTTCAAGATGCCTGCATTTAGTCTGTCTAGCCTGTTGCCGATTTTTAAGTTTGCACCATGGATACACGGTGAAGTGCTTTCTCGTATTCTTTCTATCACATTACAACTTACCACAGAACTAGTTCAGGACGTTTAGAGATTTAATTATAGATTTACCCAACAAAAGTGTTTGTGGACCAATTTGTGTCAGTTAATTTATGTTTTTTCACACTTTTTTAATGATATGAGGATAATACCACAGCTTATTTTAAATCTATCATCCATATCAACCATATTCACTGACTAGCTCACACAAAACAGTCCATTATGATCTATTTCATATCCATTTCCTTGTGAAAGCAATTTAAACATCAAGATTGTTTACGGTTTGGGAGAGAAGACTCATTTCAGTGAGTTGAAAGTGTTTAGCTGCTTACTGGCATGTTCTGATTTTCCTCTCAGTACTTAATGTTGGTAATGTTTTAGTGGGACTTCTCAGTAGCAAAACGTGTACCATAGCTTCATTGACAAATGATTCTCCTACCAGAAACGCTACATCCAGATGAACAGAATGAACTTTCTGGGATTTCCTTACCAGGATGACTGAGCGTGCAGTTTATGTTATCTGTTGGCCCTTCAACTAAACTTTGATGTAAACTTTGGAGGTCATTCAAAGCCCTTCTTTGGATATTGGCTGCCTTTTCTTCTTTTCTCTGTCAGGACGATCCCACGCTGCATCAATTATGTTGTGGTACAGGCTCTGGGGAGGCACACCATGCTGACATAGGCCAGGTTTTTGGCTAAGAGCTCTTTGGGAATCATCGTGTTGATGCAAAATACAATGTTGTGTGTATCAAACTTTGTTATCTTTGGCATTTTTCATAGACTGAGCTGAACAAATGATGTGTATTTGCAACAAGCTGCTAGAAACAAAGTGCTTTGCTAAGTCGACTGTTATGTGTATACACAATACTGATTCATATTAGGTTAGTTAGGTGCTTTATTCAGTTGAGTGGCTTAAAAGACAAAAAAAAAACCTTCCTCTGAAAAGGGTGAGGTACAAGGATTTGACTGAAGATGAGTGAAAAAGCAGCCAAACAGAAACTGAAAGACATTCAGAAAGCCTAAAGGACTATTGGCTTGAGACAACTTTAAAGGACTTGTGGGCAGTACTGTTTTAATCCTTGTAGCCATGATTTTGCAATGCATGTAGTATTTTTTTTTTTTTAACGTACTGTTCAGATGAAACCAAAGTGTACATAATTGTCAATAAGCATTCTGTCTGTGTGATCATTTGTTTGTGAATCGCAGCAGATCATATGGACAGTATGGGTTGATTCATCAAAATGGAAAGGGCAATTAGCTGGAAGCTAATGAGTGACTTAATGACGGCAGGAAAACAACTGACCAAGGGAAACAGAAAGAACCCCACTCAAAGCTGAAACCACAGAAATTCTAATATACATAAATGGCACAATCAAGCTCACCACTATAGCTGCAAAATGATTATGGAGGATATAAAGCATAAATCTTTTGCCACATCTCATCTATGCACATAAAAACTCCATAAATCAAGGCGGATCCCGAGCTTTCTCTTTTTCCTCTTCAGCTCATTATTTATCAGCAGAACACTGTCAGGTGAAGGACAGTTAAAGGCTTCGTTTTTTTGTCGCACCTCCTTCCATCTTTTAAGCAGTCTCTGTCCATATTGCATTCTTAAGTTCTTCTTCTTCTTTTTTGGCCTCTTTCAGACATACAGTGTTTGTTCGCACCAATTAATTTAATATTTTATTAACCAAATACTTATTTCAAGTTTTTATATGTTTTAAAATCTCAGATCCTAGAATATAATTTCTGGTCTTTTTCTAATGCTATAAAGTCTTATTCCTACTGCATAATTGCCTAATTGCAGTCTTCTTCAGTCCACCCACCAGCTCCCACAATACATTTATTAAGTGAAAAGGTAACTGGCATCTAACTCATAATGAAGTTAGATGCCAGTTATCATTTCACCTCCTGTAACTGATTTCATTCAGTCAGACAAATGCAGTTACGATCTTACAAACTACTGCCAAAAAAAGCAGGTTGGTGCCAGTGTGGGCAGCTGTGATCCAAGAACAGAAGGATGCACAGCCCACATTGTGAATATGCATTATAGTCCAATTGGTCCTGCCCACTCGCTGTCTAGAAGACAAAAAGTTAAATAAGACATATTACCTTTCAATACCACAGATAGTAGGGAGCTCTAGTGAAAAAAGGTCCCTTGTTATGTCTGGGCTTGACTTTCTTTACCACCTTTCCTGTAAACACTCACTGCAAAGCAAAATAAAAGTCAGCTGGAGCAGAAAATAGTTCTATCAAGTCACAGATGAAGAAATGGACTGCTAATTGGTACCCAGTAATAGTTTATCAAAACTGAAGCACAGATATCTGAGACTGACTTGACCTCGCAGCAAACCATAATATTATTCAAATAAAAGCGCTCTAAAAGTTTATGATGCAGATGCATGCGTGCACACACACACAAACACAAACTGTGCATTTCCCTTTTTATTCTGAGTAAACTGATATGTTTCGTAGGTCATTATTTTGATTTGCTGTGGTACAAGACAACAGAGTGATATTCACAGGTGGGCAGACTTGAGCAAGTGAGGTACTGGAACCTAGAACGGGAGGTTTGCCCACAGGGAGCATAAATAAAAGTTATAAGATAACTGACTATCCAATAGTCAAAGAAAAATTGGCAGATTAGTCAGCTACCAAAATAGTCTTTAGTTGCCCTAATTGCTAGTAACCTAGAGGAACTACAGTTTTTGCCACATTTTCCAGCTCTTGGTGGTTTCCTCTCATGTTTGCCCATCAAGAGAGAGAATGACAGAATCACAAAAACTGTGATGCAATCAGGAAGATCTCGCATCTTGCAAGTGAGGTATAAATCTTTTAGCGCCTTCTCTTACTTCATCTCAACATTGTTAAGAGCTTAACGGAAACCACACATTGAGCATGCAGGTGGAGGATGTGGAGCTGCTGAATGGAAGATGAATGACTGTTGAACTATGAAATACAATCCCTGCAGTTTTGTTTGTTTGGTTGACTTTAGTTCTCTGGAACATTATCCAAATTGATTCCAATTAGAAGATAAACCGCTGAAAGCTTTTTTGCTTATGAGCAACCTGAGACACAAAACAAGTGTTACAGCATAAGAGGTTTGTGTGGGATTAGGAGTGTAGCAGTGCCTTCCACTTTCCCCTCTTTTATGCAGTGATGCAGAACGTTAACCTCCGGGCATCTGAGTTGATTTATCCATGAGGGGAAAATGAACAAAACAAATAAAAAAGAGAAAAAAAAAAAGACTAATGCCTTTTTGGTGCAACTCAGTCACTGCTATATGGGCCAAATATAATGGTGTTGTCGCCCTTGCAAACATCAACGGATCCGTTGCAGTTGGCGCATGAGTGTACAATTGGCTGGCGTTTGCTCCCATTTTAATGATAAATCAGTACAGAAGCTCAGAGACTCACAGATTGTACAGGAGGAGATCTTAAAAGACACTCAAAACTGTGCAAGTTTTGTTCTGTTTTTTAATTTAACAGAATCTACCACAGCTCTTTCTTTTTCTTTTTTTTTTTTTTAAAGTGAAAAAGTATATCAGTCTTCCAACAGCTTGACCAGACCAAACCATACTGTAGCATGGCCTTTGGTTTTGTGTCAGGAAGTATACAAATTCTGCCAAATCAAGCATGCAGATTCCTTGTTTATTCTGCAGTGCTTGTATCAATATCTAACCAGTGCCCTTCCCCTGCGTTTTTCTCTCCTTCTCACTGTCTATAGCTCAGATCGACTGATGGATGACACAATAAGGTAAGCCCTTCTTTCCCTTATTCATCTGTGTCTGGTTCTTACAAAGATTTCTTCTTGTTTGTTGTTGCTAAGTATGTGCTCACAGAGCATTGTTGCTTTGCATTGATTTCCCCTTTATAATGTGGCTGGCTCTTTTCAATATAATTTAAAGTCTCTTAAGATGAGTATTGTTCTGGTTTCTGGCTATAGTTAAAAAATGGGTTTAAAAATTACAGTTCTCTCAGGTGTGACAGATAACACGTTATCTTCTTAAATATAATGAACTGTAGTTTACAGGCTATCCTTTTAAAAAGTTTTGTAGATGTAGTTAGTTTAATCTTAATGACCTCAGTCCAAGGAGAAGAGGCACTGTTTGCTGCACATATTGCATTAAGAGGCACTATCATAATTTGTGATCTGGGGTTTTATTCAACAATTTGCTGGACAGTTTAACATTCCTCGTTTAGGTCACCAAAAAACAAAAACTGACTGATCAGAGTGCACTTCTGTCCTCCAGCTCTGATTCTCATGAGCCGGTTAATACTGACTAGTCGAGGTTGCTGGTATCAGCAAAGTGATTCTTCCTGACTGAGGAGAACATGATCCCCAAAACACAGCTCCAGGCCAAGACTGCAGATTGTCCCCTCAACAACCTCCAAACCACAGGAGATGCTAAGACCCCACCCACCCGTGCTCACACATCACACGCACAACACGTTCAGACGAACACAGTGGTCATAGTCTCTCAGTGCTCAGTCGAAACACACATGCACACACACACACACACACACACACAGCTCATCATGTTTACCAGCCAAAAGAGTAAACAACTGGTGATTTCATTTACTTTGTTTTCACCGGCATCCTCTGGGGATCTTTTACTCTGAGATGGGAGGAATTGGTCCCCTATGACTAGTTCTGTTTGTCACCAGTCTGAATACTAGCATAATCCTACATGTAGTGAAAATTTAAAATAATTGAACATTTTTTGCTCGAATCAAAAATTTTCCTTTCTATAATATGACATATGTTCAAATAGTATATTATTCATTGTGTCGTATATAAGGGGCGTTAACGGGTCTAAAAGCTTTTATAATTGACTGATGTCACATCATCTTTAAACCGATTAAATGATGCTTCTCAGCATGTCATGTCTTTTTAAAGTAACTTCTCTCCTTGCATAAGCAAACCAGTACCACTCGCAGCCACTGCTGCTGGCATCTAGCCATTAGTTATTGTTTATAGAACCTGTTTGTGGATCTTTTTTGGTACAGCTGTGGAGAGGTTACTGTAAGAGAAATAAATGATTATTAGGGATTAGTTCTTACAACTAAAAGTTGAACAAAGTGCTTGAAGGTGGGCTCTGAAGCTTGTATTGATTATTTTGTGTAACATAGAGCCTGAAACTTTTCCTGCCAACTGGTCAGCTGCACTTTGCTGCTCTGAAGATTCCTGAGGCCCAAGTTTTAGAACAAGAAGCACAATACCACAGCACATCTGTACTGCCCTTATAGGTGCCTAACCATCCCATAAAGATACTGCATGTAGGAGGGAGGAATAGTGTTTGAATGAGCAGGAATGATCACAATTTTAGGTTTTACCCTTTAAATCCTTTTCTGTAGTTTTGGTTTACAAAAAAAAGGTTTAGAAACAGTACTGAATGACACAGGGGATTTACAGCACCACAATGTTTGGTGGAGACAACCAAAGTAAAAAAGAAAAGATAAAAATTACATTTTCTAACTCGCCTACAGTCAGAGGTACTTTTCTATTACTAATAAAGAGCAAAGACATGAAGGATTGTCACTTTTCTCTACTCATCTGCTTTGCTACATCTTTCTTTTTCTTCAGCATTGCTATGGCGACCAAGGAGAACGTAACCTTCCAAAGGGGCATGCTGAAATCCATACAGAGCAAGGTCAATACTCTGGCCAGTATCCTTTATGTTGCACATGTGCAGTGTTGTATGCGGGGAACCAAATGACCTCCTTTAAAGTTATCTTTAAAGGATTTCTAGACTGAAATCAGTATAGGACATTCAAAAATTAGCGCTCACATATTTGATAGAAAATGGTCTTTCTTATTAGGATTTATAGAAATGTAGCCAGTAATAGTGTTACTGAGGTTACTATATCCCATATTTGTGTATTTTTCCTTAATTTACACTCTTTCAGACCGTTTCCCAGCTATCAACAACCTCATTCAGCGAATCAATCTGCGAAAGAGAAGGGACTCTCTGATCCTTGGCGCGGTGATTGGCGTTTGCACCATTCTCCTCCTGCTCTATGCCTTCCACTGAAACTCAGTCTTTAAAGAGGCAGGATTCATCTGCTCTTTGTAGCATGGAAACTCTCTGGGGGCTGAGCTGAGTGATTGGAGGACCCTGGAGGTTCCCGAGCAGAAGGACATTAAGTTGGTCCAGTTTTGGGACAGGAGCAAATTTTGGCCAACATTTTCTACTGAACCTGTATTTAGCAGCGGGGACAGATGGCGGGTTGGTGGTTGGGTGTTTTCTGCCAACAAGAGAACGAAGACCAAAACTACAAATAAGACTAGATAAAAAATATATATTGATAAATCACCTTGAGAGCAATTCTGTGCCACTGAAAGTGTAAAGAGACTGAGATTGTGTGATGGATTTATTATTATTTTTTTCACAGGTGAAGGATTTTAAGCTGAATGGTTGTTTTTAATTGGTGGAGTGGGATGGATAGTTAATTGTGGGCTGTACAATGTGAATTAATAAATTATTCATATCAGTATGTACAACAAAGTGTGTGACACTAGAAGATGCTCATTTAGAACATTTTTGAAACTCTATTATTTGAAACTTCATCAACATTTCTGCATAAATGTAATGCCACCACAAGGCTCCAATAATACTAATAATAATAATAATAATAATCTGTTACATTTTATGTGTTTTACCCGTGGAAAGTGGATTTATAAAGTTAATGACAGGTGGGAGAGAGATTCAAGAAAGTGATATTGAGGTTCAAAGGCAGAGCCATCGTTTGTATCTTACATTTTTACATTCAGAGGTTCTGAGCAAAAGTGTTAAGCCACCCCACATTTCTTCGTTTTTGTTTGAAAATGGGAAATATGTGCAGCAGTTTTTTGAAACATTTATAAGCCTGTACAACTGTACAAAGGAGTTTGTACAGTTCTAATAAGCTTGAAAGTCAATATTTCGTGGGACCAGCTTTCTTGTAATTTCTTTTGTCTTCAGCAAAAGTTCTCCAGATTTCTTGATAGACGTTCAAAACTCTTCTTTGGATATTCGATGCCTTTTGTTCTTTGGCAGAGTGTTTGGGATCAATGTCATGCTAAAAAAGCTGATGGAACTGCATGGTGGATCAGTCTGATGATACTTTTGCAAATACAGCCCCAAAACACGACGATTTGAATAAAAACCTGTGTAATGTTGCCTTTCCTCCCTGTTTCTCTACCTTGCACTGAGACCATTTCTGATGAGACTTCAGTGAACAGTAGACGGACAGAAAATTAGTGAAGAAGAAGCCAATATCCAAATAAAACCTTTGAAAGACCTTCAGGAAGACAAAAGCACTATTGCGCAAGAACGCGTTAAAAAAGTCAAGAAAGACTGGCTCAGTGGAAGCAAAATATAAAGAAATGAGGGGTGGCTCAAGACTTTTGGACAGCACTGTCAATAAATTAACTCACAGGTTAATCAGGAGCCATTACTTGTTAAAATAAGGCATTTTTAGTATAAGGCAGTCATGGCATAGAATGAAAACAATCATTACTTGCACACATCCACATTAATATATACATTTCAGTTACTTCTTACTGTAATCTTTTAAACTTGTGTTAAAGTTTTTGTAACTTGCTTGATCGTCTAAGTTCAGTCCTAAATCATTGAATATAAGAAAGCATTAAATAAATGGCAGCTTTTCTCTTTTGGGACAGTTGATCCACATGCTTGCCTGATTGGCTGTTTTCAAAGCCATGCAAAATAAAGTATCTTTTAAGAAGAAAAAAACTGGTGAAATATATTCAGTCACAAACCTTTTTATAGTGCACTGCTTCAAGGTTTCCATAGCAGAAAAATGAAAGCAGGGCTTGATGACCAGCCTCTGGTGGAGTTAAACGTTTTGCACATTTCACAGTGTACCTGGCAGACCTGAGCCTGACTGACTGCGTCTGGTTTGAATCCACTTGGAACTCAAAGAGGCACTAGAGGAGCTGAATCCTTCAGCTGAGAAGGGAATGACTGCAGACAGGCTTCGACTCATTCGATTAAAGTCTTAGTTTGTTGGTGCCGGTGCTGGAATGTGAAAGCAAAGCAGCTGTGTGAGAAACATCAATGCGCTTTTCTCTCACTGCTTCAGGCTGTCAGTTGACTGTAATCCAATACAAAAATGTCCACAACAGTGGAGTGATGAGAGAGCCTTTGGTTTCTTGTCCTCATCCCCTCTGTATGGTGCCTTCCTCACAAAGAAAACCAAAAGAAAGATATATAAATAAAAATATGGTCTGTATCCTGATTTGGCATTATGACAGGAATAGCCTTTTCTTCATACTACAGCAGTCAGAATAAATTGCCACCTGCCCATTAATATCTTACGTCCTTTAGGGGGGAAATCCTGCGCTGAAGTCTAAGTATAGCTCAGGAGTGTGTACGTGCTGTTGGAGGACTGCAGAGGTGCAACTCCTGAATGTTTTAGCCACTCAACTAAGTGCTAGATTCTCTCAGAAGAGTCTTGCTACAGTAACTTCTGGCTAGCAAATTTCCTTATTAGAAGGAGCTAAGGTGTAAAGACAGAAATCTTGTCTTTTTTTGTGAACAAAGTGAATATTTAAAAAGCAGTTTAAGCATTTGAAACTAAGCCAGGCCTTTATTTGTGAGTGTGTGTGGTTGAAGAGAGCCATAAAATGTTTACCCCCCCCACACACACACACACAAATTCTCTCCTACTCTACAGTCTGTAGCTGTGGTGACCATGATAAATGGTGTTTGTGTTCCCTGAAGTCGAAGTGTGTATGCCCTATGTACAGGGCTTGGATACAATAAAAGCAACAACAGCTGTGCAATCCAATACAGGACAGCAGACAACAGCACCAGTGCAGAGTTGAATCAATATCTTCTTCTGTCAGTCTCAATGAAAACTGAACAATACACAAATATTACATTCACAAATGTACCACAGTGGAATTTTTTTCTTCTCTGTGGGAAAAGCCTTTTTTTTTTCTTTCTTTCTTTAGACGCCAGTCATGAGAAAAACACAGATGGTCACGGACATGCAAGAAAGTTGGGTGATTCAAAAAATTTAGTTTCATAGTCAGGCTGCCTGAATTTGGCTGTTGACTGACCTCTAGTGCCACCACTAAAATTAAGCTTTTAAAGAAAATGCATTGATAATTAGTAGATAAATGGAATATGTTTTGGCTGTAAATGTCAAATTCTTGCCAGAATACAATAATAAAAGTGTTCCTTTACTTCTAAAACAATCATTGAGCAGATAAATCTGCTCAATGATAATACCTCAGTTTCCAACCAACAATATTCTATTCGTACTTTAGCCTTAGCAACCAAAGTTAAGAAGGCAAATATCTAATTAGGCATTCACATGGCAAATCAAGGCATTCAGGTATTTAGGGATGTAGACGTGGTCATGAAGAGTTGCTGAAGATCTACTCGAGCATCAGAATAAGGAAGAAAGGTGATTTTAGCAACTTTGAGAACTGTGAGTATTTCAGAAAGGGCTGATCTACTCACACAACCGTCTCTACGGATTACAGAGAGTAATCTAAGTTCTAAAAATAAAAGAGTTCCTCCACAGAGTTTCCCACAATGGAATAAAAATATACGCTTTAAAACCACCTTTACCTGTCAAAGGTGGTGTGGGGTCCTGAGTTTCATTTTAGGGCTTCCTAAAGAATGAATATGGACTACACTTTAACAAAGGGACAGAAAGAGATCCCAAAAGCTTGCTTACAGTCGGGCAAAACAGTATTTAGTCAGCCATCAGTTGTGCAAATTCATGGCAAGGGGCCAGTAACCATGGCAACAGACCGGTAACCATGGCAACAGACCGGTAACCATGGCGACGCGTCCGTAACCACGGACCGGTAACCACGGACCGGTAACCATGGCGTTGCGTCGGTAACCATGGCGACGGGCTGGTAGCCATGGCAACGGGCCGGTAACCATGGCAATGCGTCGGTAACCATGGCAATGTTCCGGTAACCATGGCAACGTATTTAAACCATGCCATTGGCCCGGTAACCATGGCAAAAGGGCGGTAACCACGGCGACGGCCCGGTAACCATGACAATGCGTCGGTAACCATGGCAACGGGCCGGTAACCTGGCAACGGGCCAGTAACCATGGCAACGCATGTAAACGCATGTCAACACGCCGGTAACCATGGCAATGGGCCGGCAACCATGGCAACGCTTCGATAACCATGGCAACGGACCGGTAACCATGGCAACGCGTCGGTAACCATGGCAACGGGCCGGTAACCTGGCAATGGGCCAGTAGCCATGGCAACGCGTCGGTAACCATGGCAACGGACCGGTAACCATGGCGATGCATGTAAATGGATCGGTAACCATGGCGACGCATGTAAACAGGCCGGTGACATGGCGACGCATGCCAACGGATGCCAACGGATCGGTAACCATGGCAATGCATGTAAAACGCATGCCAACTTACCGGTAACCATGGCAATGCACAAACAGGGGCAGTTAAGCTAAGTTCAAGTCAGCAGACAACGGAGCTAACTAGCAGCAGCTAGCTAGCCCAACTCAGCAGAGGTGTTCTCAGCGAGGTGAAGAGCGCAAGAACTGAGGGATGACTGTGATGACAGCGGCTATATGGGCAGGCGGGGCCGTCCGCGTGTCATCACACGTCATCTGCTTTAAAGGCGTGAATAAAGGTTTCTTTAGCCAGGACACGCGAGGGCGTGATATCCCATGTGTTGTACCGAGTGAATCGACTGAAAAGGAACTGTTTACACTCTGCTATCCCAGTATGAGTTCTTTGCAAAAAAAAGAAAGAAAGAAAGGAAAACCGTGTACGGTTATACAGTTTATGTATGTATATTGTGAATTCTGTAGAAAGGAATGCTGTGTGTGTGTGTGTGTGTGTGTGTGTGTGTGTGTGTG